GAAAAGCATTTGTTAATGTTAACAACAAGGTTTACTCCCTTATTTCTGGTGCAAATTAAGTGGTATTAACACGACGGAAATACACGGAAATAAGCATACTTCAAATATACTTTGTATTAAATAAGATTAAAATATTGCAAAGTAAGTTACAAGGAAAGTCAAATTTAAGATTCAACGCCAACTGTAAATTTTAGGATTATTAAGATCTTATGACTTACAATTGATATGAAAAAGAAAAATTCTACATTAAATTTTACAATTCTTTTTGTTGTTTACCAAACACACAGACAAAAATCTATGGAAAGACAGAGAATTAACTGATAATCAGACATAAGTGCAGGAAGAAGGTGTGGGCAAGATCTTGACTTAAATCAGTTTTCTACTCTCTCTGACCAAATGTGTACGTCAGGCTATGGAAAAAAGATGTATGGGAAGGAAGAAAGAATGAAAAATAAAACTAAGCACCCAGGAGGAAGACAGTCATCTTAAATAAATCACATCTTTCACAAAGGAGGATTGCATCTCTGAAGCTCTTTTTCTCCCAATTATTTTTAATAAATTAGTGGGCAAAGACAGTCCTTCATTTTAGCTAGTCCTGAAAAAAAAAAAGAAAAAAAAGAGGGGAAAAAAAAAGAAAAAAGAGGGGTGGGGAGGTCCAGAATTTAGGAGATCTCAATTCATACTACTCTATTATTTTCAAATTAATTTCTGATGGATGAGAGACTGGAGACTGATTGGAGCTTTGTATGTAGAAATTACAATTGCTGGAATACTGAAAAAATTCCTGCAAACTTAACACATTCAGAATGACTATAAATTGATACAACAAAACACTAATAAATCAGGCAGTTTTATAGACAATAATACAGCTACTACACAGTTATGCATCGTATACTGCTATACCTGAAGTAATTTGCTTTCAATGACAAAATTACCCAAGGAAATTATTTTCATCTAATAGAATTTGTGTACAGTTTTCTATATTTCATTGTGCAGAAAAATATTTTTCATTGTTTTCTTCCAAGCTTTTTTTTTTTTTAACTATG